GAAGAGGCACAACTGGGTGGGGCAGCGGGAGCGTAGGGGCCGGAGCGCGCGGAACTGGGAGGGGCTGCGCGGGGGTGGGGGGAGCGTAGCTGGACCGGGGAGCAGCTGGAGGGATGAAGCCAGAGGACCAGGGGCCATGTCTGGGAGGATAACGCACTTCTGGAGGACGATACCTGTGGACGGAAGGAGGGGGCCGCAGCTGGACTGGGGGCAGCGCGTCCGAGCAGGAAGGGGACACAGGCGAATACTAGTGACACTTCTGAGAATTAGCCACAAGCGAATGGGGCACACACCTGTAGGAAAAGTACATACTGGATGTGGGAAGTACAACTGGATGTGGAAGCAGTTCTAGGAAGCAGGGCCACACCTGCATGTGTGGACTCACAGGGGCTACACCTGGGGAAGGGGCAACAGCTGCCTATCGGAGACACATCAGGGAGGAGAGAGCCACAGGTGTATGAAGAATATGACGGGATGAGGGGTCCATGACTGAATGTGAGAGCACATCTGGAGATGGAACATCTTTGAGGAGGGCACAGCTGTACAGACAAGTGTAGAGGCATGGAAGGGAGATTTCTATATGAATGGGGCACTAGAGGTTACTGCCGTGTATAGGAGACACATCTGGAGGGGAAGTTGGGAACACATTTGAGGAAGTGTCTACAACTGAGCTTAAGAGTCATATTTTGGAAGAGGGACCCCAACTGTATGTAGGGGTAACATCTACAGAGGAGGGAACCAGAGCTAGAATTAGGTATCAGGATGACAGTTTCCAACTGTCCCTGGAATGATGCAGGAGGTGGCAAAAGATGGGGTGGAGGTTTATATCTATAGATTAATGGGGGGGGGTGTATCCTGCCTGGGCTCCACCTGCATAGAAGCACCAGCACCAGAGAGGCAGGTAGAAAATGGAGGAAGTAGAAAACCTCAGGTGGGTGGGATGGGTCTGTGGTCTTAGGCACATGTCCTCCCACCTTTCACTCAGGCGTCCCAGGATGGAGCCCCCACCTGGCATGACGGTGGGGCAGGAGGAGCAGGGGGAGCAGGAGCTGCTGGAGCGGGCCTTCTTCTCCTGGGCTGAGTTCAGCCGCTTCTTCGACGCATGGTGCCAGCAGCGGCTGGCACTCTTCTTTGTCCAGAGCTCCATGCACCTGACACGCTGCCACTGGGCCAGGCTGCCGCCACTGTACACACTCATTGACGTGCTTAAGTACAGCTATGTGCGGCTGGTGTGCAAGGATGTGCGTGCTCCCAGCCGGCCTGCCATGGGGTAAGTGAGCTGAGCCACCACCCTGCCAGGTGCTAGAGGGGTAAGGGAAGCAAGGGGAAGGGTAGGCACAGAGCCCCCCTCCCAGAGATTGGGGGAGAGACCAACTAAAACAGCTAAATACACCTTGCAGAGAGGCTAAGAGAGTCGAGGGGAAGCTTACTGAGAACGAGAGACAGAGATGGAGCTGGAGGGACACAGTCACACATAGTGAGAAACAGGTTGGGCTCCATTTACAGACTTTATGATAGGCAAAGAGGCACCCAAGAGGCAGAAGAAGAACAAAAGTCTCAGAAAACCCAGAAACATGGAGACTTGGAACCAGAGACACCAGACAGAGCCAGAAAAACAGGTGAAAGCTGGGTTTTATACCCATACAAAGAGATCAGAGACAGATCTGCAGAGAAAGCCACAGGACGGAGGGGAAAAAAGTACATCTATTAAGTAAATACAGGACCAGGTCCCATGCTTGGGGATCAAGCCTGCAACTGAGGTACATGCTCTTGGCTGGAATCAAACCCAGGACCCTTCAGTCCACAGGCTGATGCTCTAACCACTGAGCCAAACCAGCTAGGGCAATAATAACCTCTTTTTTAACAAATGAGGAAACTGAGGCACAGAGAACTGAAGTGACTTGCCCAAGGTTAGACACCAGCATATTCTTAAGGCCCTCTATTCTTCTCTATGCTTGAAACCATTCTTAATTTTTAAAAATAATGATGAAAAGGAGAGAGAAGGAAGAAAAAGGCAGCAGGGTGATGTGATGGGGGCCATGGTCGGTTGTTCCTCCCACAGGCACCACGAGGCTGGCTGCCCTGCATTCATCATCATCAAGCTGAGCCCCCTGCGGGACCGCCTCGTGGTGACGGAGTGCCAGCTGACCCACTCACACCCAGCCTGCCCCATCGAGTTCGCCTACTACTTCCGCCCTGGGCGTCTGTTGGCCAACACCTGCCTGCCCGTGCGCACCACCAACAAGATCTCCAAACAGTTCCTGGCCCCAGCGGATGTACACCGCCTGCTTTCCTACTGCAAGGACCGCGACCACAGCGTTATTGATGCCCTTCGAGTGCTGGAGGGACTGTTCCATGCGGACCCTGAGGCCAAGGTGGGGTCTGGGGAGAGACAGGCCAGGCAGATCATTTGTTCATTCACCCTCCCACTCATCCATTCACTCCTTTCATTCATTCTTTCTTGCATTCATTAAGAACTTATTGAGGCATTGGGGATGCAGATGCTGAGAAGATGCACGTGGTCCCTGCCCTCCCAGAACTCGCCCTCTAGTTCCGCCCAGTCCAACTTCCTGCCATGATGTAAATGGTCTGTGGTTCTACGCTGCAGGCAGGGTAGCCCCCAGCCACAGCTGGCTATTGAGCACTTGAAACGTGGCCAGTAGGACCAAGGGACTGGATTTTAAACTTTATTTCATTGTAACTAACTGAAATTTAAATAGTCACTGATGGCTATTGGCCACCGTGCAGAGGTAACTGGTGACACTAGCTTGCAGTTGTAGTGGGAGAAGCCAACAATAGACAGACCACCCAAGCATGATATAATGTCAGTGGGGTTGGGTGCTAGGAAGGGGAGGATTCGAAGTGATGGGAGGCACTGTTTTAAAAAGCAACATTTTTAAAACTGAACACATGTAGGAAATGCATGAATGGTAAGTATACAGTTTGATGTGTGTTCACAAAGTGAAAACACTCCTGTACCCAGCACCCAGATAAAGCATTAGATGGGAGGGTGCTGCATTACATATGAGGAGAGGGACAGTTAGTTGACCCCCATTCTGTCTTCAGAGGGAAGTGAATTCCAGGCAGAGGGACCTGCCAATGCAAAGGCTCAGAGGTAGGAGCAAGGCCTTTGTGCTGGAGGGACAGGGAGAATGCTGGTCCTGCACGAGGAATCTCTGCTGTTTTGATCCAACTTCAGGGCTGGGGTAGACATGAAGGGAAGCAGTGAAGGAAGGAGAGAAGAAAAGAAGGGAAGAAAACTGTTCCCCCACCACCACCTGTGCTTTTCTTTCATGCCTGGAGGAGGTCCCAGTGCAGGGAAAAGATGAGGGATGAGCCTGAGGTAGAGATGGGGACAGTGGCTCTCACACTTGAGCGTGCATAGGAATCTCCTCCAGGGCTTGTCACAGTAGGTTGCTGGGCCCTGCGCCCAGGTTTTCTGACTTAGCAAGTCGGAGTGGGCCTGAGATGATTCATTTCTGTCAAGATCCTGACAGGCGATGCTGATGCTGCTGGTCCAGGGCCCACACCTTGAGGACCGCTGCCTTAGACTGCCTCTCAGAGCGTGAAGGAACAGATACCTTGTTCCCAGTGGAGGAAACTGAGACAGAGAGGCTGTCTAGTGTGCAAAAATCACACAGCTATTAGATGGTGGTGCCAAAATCGCTAACTCAGGCAATTGGCCTCCAGAGCCCACATTTTTAACCATTCCCCCTGCACTGCTTCCTGCCGGTCAAAATAATAACTGCATTCCCACATTAATGATTGGATGGCCAATTCCCCCAGGCTGGGGAGCTGGGCGCGGCAACCCCGGCATACCCTGACCTCCCTCCCCGCCTCCCTGCCCCGTCCCGCAGGTGAAGCTGGTGTTCATGGAGAACCAGGCGGTGGTGGAGACCGTGTTCCTCCTGACCTCACGCACGCGGGCGCTGTTGCGGCGCTTCCCGCGCATGCTCCTGGTGGACCGGCTGCCGGGACTGCAGGG